AAATTTCATTTCATAAGGGAAGCCATTCAAGCAAAAGAAATTGAACTCATCTATTGCAAGACAGAAGATCAAATAGCAGACATTTTGACTAAGGCTCTGCCTAAGGATCGGTTTGTGAGGTTGAGAAGCCTACTTGGAGTGAAATCAGCTAAAGGATTAGAAGGAAGTGTTGAAATATAATCCTTTTTCTACCTGATTTCTTAGAGCCGAAGTCACCAAGGCTTATTTCTCATTTTCCTTTATGTCTAGTTTATATGATGTAATGAGAACTTTTGGATTATAGTCCAGGTGGATTCTCTAACTTAGATTTGGCATGACAAGTGTAAGCACCTCATAGGGTGATAGCTGTAATTCTGTTAGAGAAGAATCACATTTCTCTCTCTGTCAGTCACACTATGTAAGCCGACTGTTTGTAGAATTCAATAGAACAGTGCCTTCCTCATTTCTCTTCATTCTCTCTAGCTAAAATCTCCAGAAAATACATCTCTTCCTAATCTGAAAATACATATACAAATTGAGAATTCTAACATGGCCTCAGAGCCTGGTTCGATTGTTTGTTGGGCGTGAATCTGTGAAGATCGAGCTGGTGTTTGGCTGGGCTGACGTTGAGCTCACTCAAAATTTCACGAAGCTTTTCTAGCTGCGTCTGATGTCTAACATGGCAGGATCAAGCTCTGCTGAGCTTCGCACACCAGTTTTCAATGGAGAAAACTATGAGTTTTGGAGCATTCGAATGAAGACCATTCTGAAATCTCATGGACTGTGGGATTTGGTTGAAAATGGTTTTGATGCTTCAGATCCAAATATCTGAAATTTGAAATTCATCTGAAATTTAAACCCAAATTTATTTGAAATTTGAAATTTGAAATTTGAAATTCATCCGAAATTTGAACCTAAAAATCTTATCCCGAAATTTTATCCGATTATGAATAGTCTTGACACGTAGAAACCCGGAAATCTTATCCGAAAATATTATCCAAATTAATTATTGAGGTAAAAAAATTTGTGAATAAAAAAAGAAAAAGAATAGTAATTGCCCTTAGCCATGACAATAGGTGGAAACACAAAATACTATTTGCAATGGCAGCTACTATTCACGTGTATAGTGGCTGCCCTAGCTCTCCCTTATCATGGCTGAGGGCAAATGGGTGGAGTTGCACTGATAGCTCGCGAGCGTTGAGCAAGGCAGGCACTGCGCGCTGGCTTCTGGCTCCTCTGCTGGGCATTTCGTCGAGCACTTGGTGTGTGACCCTACGCGCCATAGGGTCGCACTGGAGTTTCACCACTACTTTTCCAGGCTGCCATAAGGTCGTCTGACTCCATTTGCCCCTCTGTGCTTCCGCCTCTGTCTCTCTGGAAGTTGAAGTAGGGCTACAGTTCTGCAAGTAATTCTCTCACTCACTTCCAAGTCCTCTTTCGCTGTTTTATGATGTTAAACTTTATCTCTGTATCTATCTTCGCAGTTGTAATTTAGTTCTTCGTTTTGATCATTTGGTACACGGAAATTTTCATTTTTCGTTGGGTCATATATTATGTCGCTTTGCATATCATTGTTTCTTTAGCAGTAATTATGCTTAAGAAGAAATTAAAGTCATAGGCTTCTATCAGTCCGATTTAAATAGTAAGATGTGGGATTCTGAAACAATATGATTTCAGGGTTCTATAAATACCGATGGTTTCCTTTTCACCCTTCTTTTTTTGTCCATTTCTCAGACCCAGAGAATTGCAATGAACAGGAAAAGAAAGCCAGCAGATAATGCGATAGAAATGGGCAACAAAGAGGAACAGATTCAAGTAATGGGTTCTTGTATATTTGATCTTCCAAAGTCTATTCTTTACATTGTTCTACTAAAGCTACCAACTAGGAGCATTCTCATTTGCAAATGTTTATGCAAGACTTGGCAAGATCTAATTTCGGACCATGAATTTGCTAAGCTGCACTTTGCACAAGCAGAGTCCTACCCTTTGGTCCGGCCCTCTTATCCAACTCATGTGTCAAGAACCCTTTATCTGGTCAGCCTGAAGATAGCTCTGATTTTGATTTCGAGCACAGCAACTGTACGTGTTATGATGCCTCTGACTTTCTTTTTAATGAGTGCAATGGGTATCAGTTCCACATGAATCTTGCCAAATATAAAATCCCATTGCGCAATGCTGAGGAAGTACTCAATACCCACAATGATGCCAATAGGAAATCTGGAACTAAAAAGAAGCTTTGCATCAAGGTATGTCCAGCTGGTCGCAAGTATGAGGTGGTGAATTCGTGTAACGGATTGCTTTGCTTGTCTAAACCATTCATCAATGACCCTGTTGTTGTGTGCAACCCAATAACCGGTGAGTTAATACACCTTCCTGAAGTTTTTAAGCTTGAGTATGTAAAGGGATCTATTGATTGTGGATTTGGTTTCAGTCTGAAGACTAACCAGTACAAGGTGATAAGAATCTCTGAGCAAGGAACACTGGATCCCTTTAAGGCAGCCGAGGTATACACACTTGGGACAGGCTCATGGGAATGTTTAGGTTTTGCTCCGTTCTTAAAAAATAAAGTAGAATTCACCACCTATCTGAAAGGAGCGCTTTATTGGTTTTGCCATTGGCTTTCATCGCTTTATATAGATTCTTCTGACTTGGACACTGGGAGTTTTCAGTCAGTTCAGCCACCTCCTTTTGAACTGCAAAGAGAGCATCAGGTTAGTATGGGAGTTTTAGGTGACTGCCTTTGTGTATGTGAAGTTGCTTTTATGTATCCTGTGTATGTGTGGGTAATGAAAGATTGTGGTGAAGAAAAATCTTGGACGAAAATATTTTCTATTGATCCAGGTTGTCATGAGGAGTGGCCTTATGGCTTATATCAACCAATGAAAAGCTTTGAAAATGGGGGATTTCTGATGTTTCATTCTAGTAGTAATACCTTCATTTATAGGATACATGTTAATATTTTAGTAGTTTTAGTTGCTTTCACTTTCATGTTAATATTTTTTATAGGATACATGATCCTTTTCATGTTAATGAAATTTATGCAGCAGTGAAGCAATTTATAGTGCTTTGCTATTGCGGTTTAAGAATGAAGTATGGCAGAGTTCTGGGTTGGATAGTCATTGTTGATATTTTCCATTTCAAGTGGTGATTATGGAAGGTGTAATTCTTTGGGAGGGATTACTTCTCTGCATCTTTCGATGCAGAAACAATTTAGATAATTTTTCAACCGCCATCATAAGCCGTCGTGCTTATGTAAAACCTTTCTGTTGGGGAAATTTTATTAAAATCTTTAATATGTAAATGATAATTGAAATATTTTATTTTGATATTTTATTCAGTTAATGATGTATATTGTATGATACATTCTGAATGAACAGGCACTAACTTGTTAATGCACTAAATATAACTAAACATGGTTACTATTCAAATAGAAGTTACTTATGTTGCATTAGTGCCTAAAATAAAAAAGAACACTCTTCTTTGAATTCAAATACTAAACCTTTTCTTTTTTTTTTTCATGTTTTGGGTCTGCGTTTGATGTTTCACATTGTCAAATGCTAACAAATTCAATTTAACTGACATGATGAATATGATGGTAGAAAATTTCAGAATAATGAAGCATATTGTTTTGAGACTTTCTGAATAGAAGTTACTGTTTTATTGGTGCCTAAAGTAACAAGAAATACTCTGCTCTGAAATAAAATGTAAACTATTTCTGTTTTTTTGTCTTTTTGGATTTTATCTCTGAATTCGAAAAAAAAAAAGGGTGCCATGACAAAAGACTAAACTCTCTTTAGTCATATGGACCCTTTTTTTTTTTTTTTTTTTTTTCCTGAAAGCATAAAGCATTTGTTGTTTCTGTGACTGTAAGCTCATCATCAGAATTTTTTGTTAAATAATTTAAATTGTGTGGAACAACTGATATATGTTGCCTTTACTTTAAACATCACAATTGTTAATACAGATGTGCAGAACACAAGCTGCTGGGAGAGACTAGAGCTCTGTCTTTGGAGGAAGAACAAATTCTCAGTTGCTTTCCGAAGGAAGTGAAGGAGGAAATAACCTCAGAGGTGGTGTCGATGTCGTATAGAAGGCAATGTGAACTCGAAGAGGTCTGTAGAGTCAAAAAACCATTTTGTTAATGGCTTGTAAGTACCCTTTCCTACTTCCTTCTCCTCTCCAACTGTCACTCATCATCAAATAGCTTGTGAGAAAGTGTTCGGAAGTGAATAAATAACCTTTCTGGAAATTTGTTCTACCATTTCCCATCTATGGTGATTTAGATTGCTTGCCCTTGTTTTTAGTCTTTACGTATGTCATTGAGGGCTGTATAGACAATATGATCTTACCACTGTATTTTAAAAAAAAATTCACATGTAAGAGATTAAATAAGAAACAAAAGAGGAGGTCATATCTATGAAGGCAATTAAAAGGCCATATCATCTAACCACTCTAATTTTTAGTTAGGCTCCGTATAGAACGTGACACAATACTTATCATAGAGATAAAGACCACTAAGTGAGATGCTGCAATGACAGAATGTGTTGCACTTTTCTGCCCTGAATTTATGAAACTATATTGCATGCATCACTGTTTGTTTATTTGCTGGTTTGTTCGACTCTGTCGAATCTCAACAAAAGAATTTCTCATTGTGGCGCTTACATCAATTCTCTGAAGAAGTATATGATGGTAAATAGGAAAACAAAAATTGCAGGGAACGTCTGATTTTTTCATGAATTAGGATTATACTTGAAACGTAGTAACTGCATGAATGTCGATACAGGTGACAAGATTGCAAGCTGCTGGGAGAGACAGGAGCTTTTTTCTTTTTTGGTGGCAGGAAATAGGGTCTGGTATCAACATCAGATAGGTCCTCAATGCAGTGTCAATTGTCAATCTACAGGTACAGGGATGAGATGTAGGTGATCACTCCCCTTCCCCTAATTAATCGTAATTAAGAATTACGCATTAATTAAATGTAAAAGTTAAACCAGTTGCTCCCACAAATTCATGAGAACATGAATATACTCAGTAACTTACTACAATAATAACGAAAACAGAAATAGAAATAATAACATACAAAACCCATGACTAATGATCAATCGATCAGTACTAGATCGTGTTAATTATATTGGTATTCATATTCCAATTGGAAAGCTTTACAGTTTCATGTACAGAAGCCAAACAATTAATGCCTGATCACACTTTTTGTTAGACATTTACAAACTCATACATAAAAATATTACATTTAAGAAGATTGTCGGGGCATGTGTTATCTGCCTACGTGGCACTTGCATGTGTTTGCCGATGATGTGGACAAAACAATTAGAGGGCCTCTTGTTGGCCCGCCACGACTATTCAACCAAGAGTCATTTTATAGTGAGGGCCTTATATATAGCCTTTAGGTGAGATTCTATCTCTTAACTGTTGAATCAGGCTAACCAATTTGATCAAACAGTTAAGAGATAGGGTCTCACCTAAGGGCCATATATAAGACCCTCACTATAGAATTCTTGATTTAACCATAATACCTTGTTTACAAATTTGAGAATAGAAATGGACGCACCTAGGGTTCGATGTGGAAATAAATGTTTTTTTGATGACATCGTGGACTGAAGATAACTTTGGGAGAATTGCATTAGCATATCAGCATTTTTGTTTAACAAAATTTACCTGTAATTTTTTTTTTTCTTATTTTAGTTTTCGCCGTGTAGAAAAGAGAAGTTTGCACATTCTTGACTGGTATCATCCGAAGATATATGAACCCTCCAAGAGTTTGGTACTTGGACTTTTAAAAAGATTGAGGTTAGAGCTTCTTCGAAAGGAAAGTGGAGTTCCCGAGCTTGTCTAGTGATTCATTGGATGATTGTTATTGTGTTGTTGGGGATGTTGCCGGTGGAAGGAAGGGCAAAGGCTGGATTGAGCAAGAATGTCAAATTAGCACTTGAGTTTTAGGGGTTATGGTGGTGATTTGAGTTATTTTTGTCTCCTATAATTCCAAATTCATTTTATTTATTAGGAAACCCGAGTTAAATGTATTAACAAAGTCGTATTCTTGCTTACCTGACACATATCTCATAAACCGGAAACTTTTGAGTCCAAGATCATCATCTAACATCCAAACTATAACCAAATCCAACAGAAAAAGGAACTTCTTCTATTTTGTTTGTAGAACGCTCTCATCATCAAGAGACAAACACACATAATCCAATAAGCAAGCATACAGATGAAAACAAAGCTGCTACATTTTTTGGTTCCTCCTCTTCTTCCTCCTTCATGAAATCTGCATGGATCTGCTCATCTTATCGAGCAAAACTAGGCTTTCCGTGTAATATACAATACATGAATACCCTGGATCTGTGTGAATTCCAAGAAACTCATTTGTGTTCTTCTTGGGATCATGAGAGACTAACTCTGCATTCTTTCTTCCATGGTCATACCTTTCTAACAGAAACTCACCATTATTCTTCCTACACCCCAAAACCTGCAGTACTCTGAAATTGGGAGTGACATGTACATCAACAGAGACTTGCTTTTCCCAAGATTCCACGACTCCATACTCTCTCATAACCCACAGAGTATGTCTATTTTGATCAAAGTGCTTTACACAAATGGACTTGCCGGCAGCCGAAATGGCCATGTACTTAGTTGGCAACTCACAAGCTAAGCCTTCTGGCAGCTCAATCTCTTGGAAAGTCTCATTACTCATATCAAGGGACAAAACCACATTGCGAAAATAATTTCCTTTCTTACAAGACGCAACCCAATGGACAGCCCCATTGACAAAAACTTGAGCCCAAAAGTTTTGAGCAATATGATAACTGGGAGCAGCTGATGTAATGCTTTTCCAAGACCCTGAGTTTAGCGAATAAAGCTCGATTTCCGGGCAAGCTTGGCCTTCATTTTGGCGGAGATACACCAGTCTTACTACCTTGTAATCATTTTTCTTAGAATCAAAGCCAAAGCCATGAACAGAATGATGGGGAGATTTTGGGACATGAGGCTTGGCAAGCGTGATGAACTTTCTAATGGAGGGGTTCCATAGAACAAACATGTTGTAATCTGTGAGGTAATCATCCGAGAGGAGAATCAATCCATTGCACGAACCCACGATTCGGAAACACTCATTGAGGCTCTGAACTGGAAGCTCAGGCTTTGAGTGTTCTTGGAATGAACCATTTTCTAAGTGTAGAGAATAGAGCTCTCTAGTGGGGTCCTTGGGGCAGTGCCTGAGAAGGAGCAAAGGGGAATTGCTTGTTTTGTCTAAATTGAGGTTAAGGTGGTTGTTGATGAATCTAGTGTGTTTAATTAGGGAGTTCCAAGATTTGCAGATAGAGGTGCACTGAAGAAGAGATTTGATGGGTAGCCTCAGAAGAATTTGGGTTATGATTTCTGGAGGAAGGTACTCTGACATCTTTATTCTATCTTTGTGCTTGAGAATCTGAGGTGCCTAAAAATCCTAGAGAAGTAGTATTAAACTGTTCAAAGTCAAGCTTGTGAGAGAAATTAATTCATATAATTGTGAAGAGGTAAGAGGATTGGTAGGGCATCATTTTCGTGCCGGCCAAGATTTGTGGACCAAAATGGTAGCCAGTTCAAACGTGGCTTGCTCATGTTCAAAGTCAAGCTTTTGATGATAGACACAAAGACCAAGATTGTTTAATGACCAATTGGTGCAACTTTACGTGAGTGAAAAAGGTTTGGAAATTTCCTTTGTCCAAAGTCATAGCAACTATGATAGAATTAGGGATCTATCGATAGAATTATGGATGGTAACTTGGGATCGAGCCTCAGCATTTAAGGAGTTTTTATAAAAAATAGTCAAAACTAGCAAAGGGTGTCTGCGCAATGCTGCGGGTTTTAAAATTGTGTGAAATGTGTATATGAAAATAGGCAAGGATAACGTTCTATGTACATATACATGAAAATGTAAATAGTATCATCGCATTTAGTTTCTCAAGTTTTAGTTACAAAAGATAAATTAATAACATGTTTTATATTGACAGGAAGCACCCCAGAATTTCCCCTGAAACCGGGGCGGACCCCGTCTTGGTGCCGACATCACACCGATGCCGGGCCCACTTACTAAAAAACCAAGACATCCTACCAAAATTTTGCCAGAGTCTTCCCTGTAAAATGCTCAAACCCAACAATATTCAACCAGCATAATTTACATAATATAAATCCCAACTGCCAGCATGCTTTCAACATACAACAATCCAAAATAAAGTGGCCTCCGGCCTCCAGTAACAACCTAACATGGGCGATAACAGAGCATCTAACAGAATTTGTTTATAACAAACAGTTGAGTAGAAGGAATTTACACAAGTCCAATCTACGGATGAAATGTTTTGAGCTCACAACCTGCTCGAACGCTTCCAAAAGCAACTACTGCCTGGGGGGGCGCAAAACAGAAATATGTGAGTGGACAAAAATAAAGTTTGCATTTAAAAACAACATAATAACCCTACCGTGTAAAAACAATGCTCTAGCATGCAGATTCACAATTTAGAAACCAAATACCCAAAACACATTATCTCAAAGTCCAATAACTCTCACAATCTCAAATCACAAGTCCATTCCCAAAGATATGCAACTCTCCTCAACCCGTAAACACACACACACACACATATATATAAATATATATCTATAACTATAACTATAATATAATATATACTTCTCTCCATACTAATGTATCGGAGAAACAATCCAACCGGGGGATTGTTTAGCTGGTACGCAGGATTTCCGAGCACTAACCCGCGTCCAGGGATGAGTAGTCCAACCGGGGGACGGAACTCCATAGCTCACACGCCGGCACTGCCAACGACACGTGTAGCTCAC